TCTCTACAAAATATCTCTTATACGTCCTGCAGGCCCAGAAGGCGGATGAACTGACATGTTTTAATGGCAGAAAGATAAAAGTAGCCAGCTATAGTTCACAGTAAAGGGCACCGGGCTTTGCAGAAGCACCAGCTTGGATTTCACTCGTATAGGTCACTGGTCAATACAGAGGAATAATGAATCACTGGAATTTAGCCCTGCAAATTATGGTTTCCATCATGAGTGGGCGAGGTCGGCAATCAATGGGAATTAAATCTAGTGCCGGCTGGTGAAACTGAAACGAGCTACACGTGGCTTTCGTTTATCTTGCTGTGAAAAGACAGATACAAAATACAATATTCAGGCCAAATTCTGCTCATGTTCAGGTGTATATCAGTATGTAGTGTCTCTACTTTAAAGAGTCCTCTCCTGCTGATGTTCAGGTGTATATCAGTATGTAGTGTCTCTACTTTAAAGAGTCCTCTCCTGCTGATGTGCAAGGTGTATATCAGTATGTAGTGTCTCTACTTTAAAGAGTCCTCTCCTGCTGATGTTCAGGTGTATATCAGTATGTAGTGTCTCTACTTTAAAGAGTCCTCTCCTGCTGATGTTCAGGTGTATATCAGTATGTAGTGTCTCTACTTAAAGAGTCCTCTCCTGCTGATGTTCAGGTGTATATCAGTATGTAGTGTCTCTACTTTAAAGAGTCCTCTCCTGCTGATGTTCAGGTGTATATCAGTATGTAGTGTCTCTACTTTAAAGAGTCCTCTCCTGCTGATGTTCAGGTGTATATCAGTATGTAGTGTCTCTACTTTAAAGAGTCCTCTCCTGCTGATGTTCAGGTGTATATCAGTATGTAGTGTCTCTACTTTAAAGAGTCCTCTCCTGCTGATGTTCAGGTGTATATCAGTATGTAGTGTCTCTACTTTAAAGAGTCCTCTCCTGCTGATGTTCAGGTGTATATCAGTATGTAGTGTCTCTACTTTAAAGAGTCCTCTCCTGCTGATGTTCAGGTGTATATCAGTATGTAGTGTCTCTACTTTAAAGAGTCCTCTCCTGCTGATGTTCAGGTGTATATCAGTATGTAGTGTCTCTACTTCATGTCTCCATGCTTTAATGTTCAAAAAGCTCTTTATTTTTCTCATACTGCCTGTGCTGCAGCACCTCTTTTCACCCTCTGTCTGAAACCAGAGCCCAGTCTGCTCTGATTGGTTAGCTGGCCGGCTCTGTTGTGATTGGTCGCTCTGTTGTGATTGGTCAACTGCTTAGAGATGTCCCGGAGCGCTAGCCAATAGGAGCGCGGGCGTTACATAGTGATGTCACTATGTTCCTGAAGTAAACAAAGGAGTCCAACGGAGGCGTTTCAGGCGGGAGGGGGGGGCTCCCTCTGGAGAGAACACAGGGATTTCAGACTTTGCAGACCCTTTACATGCACTAAAACCTATTTAAGAAAGCATAATAGGTTCTGTTCAAGCAACAACTGTGGGACTAATAAAGGTATTCTGATTCTGATTCTGAACAAAGCTGAACTTTAAAATGTAAAAAAAAGGAGGTAAATAGACTTTGCTCACTTGTGAATCATCTGACTTCCTATCATCTGTTCACTTTCCTCCTCCTGCTCTTTCTTGGAAATTAGGATCTGTGTCACTGCATGTTAACACATGGTGGCACACACACACACACACACACACACACACACACACACACACACACACACACACACACACACACACACACACACACACACACACACACACACACACACACACACACACACACACCACACACACACACACACACACACACACACACACACACACACACACACACACACACACACCATGGTGTCACCCTTTATCTCCAGCCTCCTGCAGCCTCACGTTTATCTTCACGAGGAACAAAGGCTGCCAGTGCTATCAGCTAACAGGTGCTTTACCAATAAAATCTCTTTAATCTGCAGTGGCCTCTCCTGAGCAGCTTATCTCCATCCACCTGTCTCCAACTCTTCCTCATTAAAGAGCCAGGGTACAAAATGAGAGCTTCATCAATTAATGTGGATGTGTGATATAGATATTTTTAGACTGAAGCGGAAATGTGTGTGAATATAAATAATATTTGATTTATTAGTTGAAAACGTAAGACAGCTTTGATATTTGTTTTCTGTGTGATCTAGATACATTTAATTTGTTTTAAAGAGGGAAACAACTGCATTTAATATGTACACGCAGGTGAATGGATAAACAATCTGTCTATCAAACTCTTGAACATTGGTCATGAAAACAGCTTAAATTAATCAAGAATACACTTCATTGCAGTTCTTCGATAATGATGATTTTGTAAAAAGTAAAAAGCTAACGTTAGGCTATACAGGAACTACAGCACGGTCACATGACTTCACGTCACCACCGCTAAGCTAAAGGAGGCTAATGTTGGGCTATAAAGGAACTACAGCACGGTCGGTCACATGACTTCACGTCACCGCCGCTAAGCTAAAGGTGGCTAATGTTGGGCTATAAAGGAACTACAGCACGGTCACATGACTTCACGTCACCACCGCTAAGCTAAAGGTGGCTAATGTTGGGCTATAAAGGAACTACAGCACGGTCACATGACTTCACGTCACCACCGCTAAGCTAAAGGAGGCTAATGTTGGGCTATAAAGGAACTACAGCACGGTCGGTCACATGACTTCACGTCACCGCCGCTAAGCTAAAGGTGGCTAATGTTGGGCTATAAAGGAACTACAGCAGGGTCACATGACTAAACCTCACCACCGCTAAGCTAAAGAAGGCTAATGTTGGGCTATAAAGGAACTACAGCAGGGTCACATGACTAAACCTCACCACCGCTAAGCTAAAGGAGGCTAATGTTGGGCTATAAAGGAACTACAGCAGGGTCACATGACTAAACCTCACCACCGCTAAGCTAAAGGAGGCTAATGTTGGGCTATAAAGGAACTACAGCAGGGTCACATGACTAAACATCACCACCGCTAAGCTAAAGAAGGCTAATGTTGGGCTATAAAGGAACTACAGCAGGGTCACATGACTAAACCTCACCACCGCTAAGCTAAAGAAGGCTAATGTTGGGCGTGATGACGTTTAGTTGTCTCATTTAGACACTTGTTAACAACCTCCGTTTTTAAATTCACCAGTGGGGTATTTACTGACGTTTTTTATGTCGTAGAATTGAAATCTCTTCAGCTTGACATACAACATACAAAAAAACATTGACTTTTATACAAAGGGTCTGGAAGTGGAAATGCTGACTAATTATCGGGTTTAAGGACTCATTCCTGCACCACTCAATTGTCTGAATACACAGGTGTTCACTGCATCTTAAAGCAAAAACAGCAGCAAGAAGACACTAAATCAAGATCAAGAATAGCCCCCAAACTGACCTCAAGAATAAGCAATTGACACCCGGTGAAATCCTCCAATTAAACGGAAAGCGTGCAGGGAAGTAAAGCCAAGATTTAAAAATAGCAAGGAAGATATCAGACTTCACTTTCCTTACTCCCATGGTGCATCACATTCATGATTCACTATATAATACTACTAGAGGACCTAGAAGTATTTCAAATGTTGCTCTTTTTTTGGAAACATTTTATGCTCCACATTCACCAAGGCATAAAAACTGAGGCTTGTTCACAGGCTTCTGCACACAAGGAACACTAGATGCTCTCCTAAGGATAAAAACACAACACACACACACACACACACACACACACACACACACACACACACACACACACACACACACACACACCACACACACACACACAACACACACACACACACACACACACACACACACACACACACACACACACACACACACACACACACACACTCTTTCTTACATCAAGGACAGTTGCCAGCAGACTTAAGGGTTTGATAATAGTCACATTACATCATATAAGCAGTCAGGGTTATACATTATAATTGTGAGGTTTTTCAGCATCTCATCTCTAACTTAAAGCTGCATATAGTCAATATATTTAAATGTGTAATCTTCCATGCAATAATTAAAGACAATTGCACTAAAGGATTATAATTATTATTAGTTTTAAAATGATTTTTAGTCAAGGATTGCCCTTTAAAATGTTAATTTATTTATGTTATTTTTTATAAATTAGTGCCTTTGTGATCAATTTGTTGAATAAAATATTTCGTATTATTCCCTTTGGTTTTGATGGAGCTGAAAAGAGCAGCAAATACACTTTAATATCTGATTCATAGGAAGTAATATCAATATCACAATATTCAACAAAGATATGTTTATTTCCTTAAACACATAATGTTTACTGTTTTTATTCCAGGGACAGTTCCTTTAGGGTTTTCTTAAAATCGGACCTACATTATATCAATATTATATTATTTCAATTGCATGTTTTATCATCTAATGAAGGTATATGTGATAGATTTAGTCTCTTTTAGGTCACAAAGGGATTTAGATTTGGCCAATCTTTTGGGTGTGAGTGAAATGAAAACCCAAAATATGCTTTTCTGGTACTTACAAATGTTTAACGTTTAAATGTGAAATTTTAGTTTGGGACAACTGAATTCGGACTATTTTTGCCCAATATCATGATTATTCACAGAATGTCAAGGTGTTATGGTCCCCAGGAGATAATCCAGCTGCCAGTGACATTTCCACGAGAACAGCTGATGCAAACAATAGTGAGAGGCCGTATGGAGCTGACAGGTAGCCTCTTGTACTGTAGGCCTCTTACAGTCTTACATTTTACCAGATATGTATGTGGAAGATGAGTTTGCACATCAGGACATGTTGTTTTAGATTTTCCTTGGTCAGTTTCAGGGCATATACTGTCTCCAGCCTCATTATTCCTGCATGCACGCCTATAATAATCTCATATAATCTGCAGCTTTTCTTCCAGCATGTATTCCTCTGCATGCTGTTGCAGGTTTCTCGACGCTTGCACCAGCAGCAGCCTGACGTCCTACCTGTGGAGCAGAACAGGTGACAGCGTGCATATATTTGCCTTGACGGACACTCACCTTCGGATTTCAGTGCGCTTCTCCGAGGAAAAAATACCCCACGGTGTCCGAAGTTGGAACTAACCGCCAGCCACCATCTTCTGCAGGGACGAAGACGAGAAAGAGCGGGGAATAGGACTCGTTAGACAGCTTCATTACAGCTGCTGGACCCGCGGCATAGTGGAGCTCAGCGGGCAGACAGCAGACGGACAGCCGGGCTCCGAGCGCTCATTCCCGGCAGAACAGGGAGGAGCGACAGGCTGACAGCGCGGAGCCCGGAGCAGACCGGAAGAGAAGGGAGGAGGCCTTCAAAGTAAAAGCACAACAGCTGCAAGGCTTTTCTTTTCCCGTTTCATTGCATCTTGTGTTTTAATTTTGTATGTATGTTTGTTTGAATGCTTGTATTACATGTTTTTTGGGTTGTAAAGCCTCTTTGAGTATTATTATTATTATAGAAAATTATGTAAATAAGTAAAAGAATTTCAAATATTAAAGATAAAAGAGAATAAACACACTAAGGTATACGATACAATATTCATAATAACATAAATAATAACAATAACATTGGTAAAATAATTACGTTAAGGTTCACTAATTCACTTACAATATTTAATATTTTGTAGCCTTATAATGGGGCAATGTAATTATCATAACTATTATTATTATTATTATTTATTATTATCTCGAAGTTGTAGCAGTGATTGCGAATGGCTCGTCATTTTTATTAGTTTTATTTTGAAAACCTGATGATACAGTTTCCGGTGTAACTCCGGCTGTTTTGTGTTGCTGCTGCTGCTCAAAGGTTTGTACCATTGTGTTTTTAGTAAGGGGTGCACTGTCTGTCTCTACACATTCAGATTGTAAAACCTGTATTGTTTTTTCTCCTGTTTAAAGATATTATCTGTGGGGGAAACTTCTGAAGCAATTGGAGTCAGGACTCAGAGAGACACGAGGAGAGCTGGAGCTTCGATGGCAAACACTGACGGTTTATTTGGAGCTTCGGCCGGAGAATTCACAAGACATGTCAAAGGGCCATGGTCTGACCACACGGTTGAGATGCCACAATCAATTCTGAAGAACCCTCCTGTAGTTCCAGGTTTTAACTAGTTCAGAGTGTAATAATCAACATTCTTCAATAGATAGACTAAACAGCTGAGGACACTGAATCACAGTTGTTGTAGCTTATGGCTCGGGGTCATCTACACCCCGAGAAGGATGTGTTCCAGGTGTCCCACAACAATAACTATCTCTGACCGACAGATGCCCGGTCATAAACTGGTAACAACAACTACTTGCTAGGGCAGCCCCTCCTTAAGGGAGATAGGGGGTGTTTCTCAATGTCGAGGACACTTCCTTGGTAGGACAAGTCCCTCCGAGTCAGGCCCTTCAGAAGCGATGCAAGAATCCTTCCTAGCCTCGGAAAATGAATAATGGTGGAACAGGCTAACAGGTGTGCAGGTGTGCGTAATATGCGAGGCCCCGCCTTAAAATGGAGCGCGATTTCCACCAAAGATTTGGAAATTGGTCCGTGCGCAAAGCATTGTGGGGATTTTAAGACCGCGGAGGATACACATGTGCAGCCTCGAAATTTCCCGCAACGAAGGACGCCGGCCTCGGTAGAATTCCAAGTATCCTGGATATTGGAACAGTCCTTCGGCGGGACTCGATGACATAGCATCCTTGAAATAGTGGCTCTGGAGCAGCCTTCCTCGACATTGAGAAACACCCAGCTGCTGCCCAAGGCTGGAGCATCTGTGTCAGAGGGTGAAAGATGACACTAGGGCAAATTAATCCCTAACATTATCAAATCACTCAGTAATTTGTCCTCAGTCCTAAATTATAAGGAGGATTTACTGTACCTTTTCTTATCTTATTGTTATAACACAGATGATAAATGAACGCACTTGTCTTGTAGATACTCCCTCCTTAAATAGCCATAGAAAACAGTAATCCATTCCATTCATAGCAAGTGTTTTTAGCAGAGGCCTGTTAATGGGTTCAATCAACAGGTTTTCTTGCAATGAATCTATTATGTGATTAGCATAAAATGAATTAAACTGCTCATTACCAGGTGCATTAATGTGTACACCATCATTCTGCTTTCTTATGAGGATATAACAAGGAAGAATAAGGTGTGCTGGAGCTTTATCTTTGCACATATTATTCACAGGTGAACACCTTCACTGTACCTCTGAAGGTGAGACTCAAACAGATGGAGATTTCACCTCCTGTGGTTTTAAACTCACTAACCTTCATCATCAGACCTCAATACTTACTGTTTGATAACTTAATCAGTATTTGTTCCTATCTGCTCTTAAGACATGACTTTGAAATGGCCTGTGGGCTGTTGTTCTCCATTACTTCAATAAAACAATATATAAATATGTTCTAATGCATGTTACATATTAATTTGGAGTCTTATTGTTTAGCTGTGATAGGAGGGCACTATTCCTTTAGGTATAATCAGAAATGTCAAGTACATACAAGGAAGTTGCTGTGTGTGTGTGTGTCTCTCTGTGTGTGTGTATCTGTGTGTATGTGTGTGTGTGTGTGTGTGTCTCTGTGTCTCTGTGTCTCTGTGTCTCTGTTGTGTATTGGCCAATACTATGAACACAGTCAAATACAATATAAAAAACGATAATACAAACATTTATATAGAATATGAAAATAACAATTACAAATGTGTGAACAAGAAAAATACATTTAGAAAAAAAGAAAATTACAATGGTACGTTTTTGTCCTGATCCATTTATATAAAAACCTGTCTGAAAATGAGCTGATCAGATTTTGGCCACTTTATGATGTCATAACGATTTTTGGCACCATTATTGTGTTATTTCTAACCAAATATCTCTCAGAGGGGTGTGGGGAGTGGCTCCTTATTTTCATCTAAAGTAACAGACAGAGAATCAGCACTTTTGAAACAGGGCTGAAACAGAGGGGCTTATGGGATGCTGCAATGATCTGTTTGGTGTTTGGAGCCAAACACTTCAGAGACATGTTTTGTATATATCTGAGACCTATAATATATTGATGAAAAACAGTACAATAGGGGACCTTTAACGAAATTATATTGAGATATGAAGAATCAAAGAAATATACAATAATGTGAATGTAATATTAGAACTTGTGTTAAATGTAACACAACTTCTAATATTGCACCAATTCGTGTTATGTATAGATATCTGCTGCCAAGATTTACTTCCAACATGCACACGATGTAATTTAGAGTTTATGTGTAGGCTTCACGTGACTGCTTGCTTTTATTTGAAGGGGCTTAACGGATATCCGTTGGTTTCTTTAAAAAAGCTAGACATCACCAACTTGACTTTATACAGTTTCGGTTTCTTCCTGAACTTTTTCAACATTTCACGCTTTTCATATATATAACTATATTTGTGGATTAAATCAACATGGGGGCTTGTTTGGCAATAGGGTCCCTCGCCAGTTGTGTAAGTAAACATTTAACGCTTGTTTTGTTCCTACATGATGTATGTAGGCTTTGTATTTTTACGGTTTCTTGACTATTTTAAGTACGCGTTGTTTGCAAAGGAAAACAGATAAAGATCTACAGAAAGTCATGTGACAAACTATATAAACAAGTCTTAAATATGTTACTACCCCAGTATCTGTAGACATATCATTTAACATTATAAGTACTATGAATACCTGTTTCTAGTTCAAATAGACGTACATTGTAAAACACGGATCCAAATAAGTGACGTTACATTATTTAGAAATGTAGTCTTTTCTCCGACCGTTTGAAGCCTATTTTTTTTGAATGGACGTAGTGGCCAAACGGTGGTACTACACGTCCCCATGACGTCATTCTGGCTAAAAAATACTTTTCTCCATTGACTTACCAATTGGGCAAAGAGACGTCTGTAAATCGGCGTAGTACTTTTTTGGAGCTTAATTAACTTCCCAGCACGAACACTTGTAAAGTCCTTATTTAATCATTATGGTCTCAAAGGTGTAAAATGCACTAAAAGCTGAATCCAGAGTTATTTTAACAGCCGAGAGCGGGAGGTCGGAGACTGGGGCTTAAGGGAAACTCAACCGCGCAATGCTCTGTCGGCCCACATCCGGGTACTTTTTGAATCTACAGTCGCTCGGTTTCTGGCTTCATGCGCTACTGAGCAACCCTCATGGGATATATGGTGACAATAAGTAACCTAAACATCTAATTAAAGATGACAAACATGTGCCGATGTGTAAAGTTAAACATTATACCCAACTTAAACTAACATTTACCAACTTAAAATGTGTTTTTATTTAAAATAACGTGAATTTAGTGTTGAATTGCCAGATTTGTGAATGGAGTTAGATGTGTGAACATGTGCGTCTTTGTTTATTTTATTTACGGTTACTAACTCATAGGGTCATTCTGCTTTTAATGTTTATTATGACTGAAGTCAATTAATGATATAGATACATTTACAGTTTTTGTTGGATTTGTAAGATGTTTCTTAAAAAGCCACAGCTTCCGGGTTTCAGTCTCTTAGGGGCGTCACTGTTTTGTTTTTCTCTCCTTGTCGTTCCCATGATAACCATTCGTGCTATTTCTATGTAACTCTTTTCTTCGGTATTTATCCCTTTTGGACTTTGACACTTTTCAATATATACAACATAGATTCCCACTAGCCTACATGTGAAATTTGTCAGGGGATTTTACCTCAAATACAATATTATCTGAAAGCTCAAACGGCTGCTTATCCAATTTCCAATCCTAAAATGCATGATTAAGCTAAAAGAACATTGTAAAAAAATATAAGGTTATTACCACGTCACAAACAGAAAGGGGATTTAATTTTCTCTGGCTTTTTAAGATACTACTGTTACAACAACATATTTTGTATGCAATGCTTTGAGACAGAGACACATCTCCCCGTTGAAACACATTAAGTACACACCTTTGATCCCACAGCCATTACTCCATAGATGCTTTCATTTGTATGACATCAGTCTTTAAATATAGAGCCTCCTTTTTTCTATGTTCCACTAGATTGAGCTACTTTGCCCTATTTGGCATGGCTACTGTATTATGTCTTTGAAAATAGAGGCTCTTGCTCATCAGTAAAATATCCCAGACTGAAGAAAGAATAAAAGCAGAAGTAGTACAATTTAAATATGTGTTTTTTCATGTGGGATTATGTACACAAACTATAATTTAAAGGCCGTGGTGTAAAGTAACAAAGTACAGTTACTCGAGTACTGTACAAGTACACATTTGAGGTACTTGTACTTTACTTGAGTATTTCAATTTGTTGTTACTTTGTACTTCTACTCCACTTTAACACCTTTAGTTGTTTTACAGATTTTGATTAATGATGTGAAATATAATCAACTTAAATCAGACAATATGTACACAAACTGGCATTAAAGGGTTACAAATCAATAAGTATTTGGTAGTTGTAATCTGGACTGGATTACAAACTCAAAGTGTAAAATAATAATAATATTTAGATTCATTGCAGTTTTTGACACAGACATTTTGGACCCTTTATGAGGGCACGATGTGAGTAAACTCTGAGTTTTGTTCTGGTGTTTTTGTCGTTTTCCTCTTACTGAGTTATTTGTAAGAACAGTTTGTTGCTCAGACGAGTCTTAAATATGTGAACTGGGTTTATCTGGTCACGGCTGCATTGTTTACTCTGCTGCGCTCGTGTTTAGTGAAGGATGGCTGATCTCAGTATCTGAATCATGCAGGAGGCCTGATTCCTGCCCACAGGCCTGATTCCTGCCTCCCTAAATCACCGTATGTCTCGTGCAGGAGAGGGAGAATTTACAGTATTTACATTGAAATAGAATGGAATAAAATATAAAAATATGTGCAGTAAAAAAAACAGATATTGTCAACATTGTGTGCATTATTGTTGTTATAATATGAGTAACCGTGCCTCGTCTCCCTGCAGGCGTCGTGTCTGTGTGGCTCCGCCTCCTGCCTGCTGTCCTCCTGCTGCCCCTCAGCCTTTAACTCCACCATCACCCGGCTGGCCTTCTCCTTCCTGCTGCTGCTCGGCACGCTGGTGTCCATCATCATGATCCTGCCGGGCATGGAGGACCACCTGAAGCAGGTAACTAACTCAGAGTCAATGCTCCACACTGCACTGCTGCAGGACTAGTCAACTTTTAGTCAAAATGTTTTCTCTCTTCAAACTAATTCAGTTAGGCTAATACAGGTATCTGAAATTGGAATCAAGCTGACAGTATCAAGTGTTGAAATTGCGTAAAGCAACATTTCACTCTCTTAACACTTTACTTGAGTGACGTGTGCAGATTCCCAGAATCCCAACTAATTCAACCAATGACAGGGATGCATTTTGACGGACAATTGGGAGAAAATATCCTGCATTTTGAATGTCCGATAGTCCACCATTAACGCCTTAGTCTCGTCTTGTCAACGAAAACAAAATATACATTTCGTCTTAGTTTTTATTATCAAGAATATATTTTTAGCTCGTCATCGTCTCCTCTTAGTCGTGTAAAAAAGGTCGTTGACGAACATTTTCCTCATAGTTTTCGTTGACAAACTTAACACTGCTGCAGGAGGCATCTTTTAAAGGACTTCGTGAGAATCAGGTTCATTGCTAAGCAGGGCTTCACATAGTATAAAAACACAGTTGGAGAAATTCATCTTGTATTCTGTTTTATTTTATTCCATTTGACATGTATGTAGTTTTTACTTTAACTTCTCATTGTTATATTACTATCTTTATTCTATTTTATTACATAGGAATATTTTTTAATTCATTTCTTATGTTTTTTTTAAAATTATCCCTATTGGACATTTTTATAAATAATATTATTTAATTTAAATTAATGTTATCTTTATTGGGAATTTCACTTTAAAATAGTATGTTTTTATGATTTTTTTTTTAACCTATTTTATAAAAATACTTTTCCATTATTTATAAAGTTTAATCTAATTAATTTTATTCTAACAAACCTGTCGACAAACAATTTTCCACCGGGATAAATAAAGTAGTCTGATTCAGATTTTAACTATTTAAATAAAATACATTTTCATTCAAATCATTTTTATTGCCTGATTTTCTCATATTATCAATATCAATATACATGTGGTGTATACAAGTACACAGAAAGTTGTAGTTTGACATAAGAGAAAATATAGAACAATTATACAGACTGTTTAAATAAAAATGTACAAGAAATATAAAATAACAATATGCCAAATCTTGGTGAGAAAAATATATATAGTATACCTGAAGTGGTAGAGCGAGTGGTGTAAAATAACTACGTACATTTACTTGAGTATTGTACTTAGCTGCAGGCTAGGTAGTATTGTGCAAAGTAAGGTGCAAAGGTTTACAGTCTGGAGTATAAAGAGGAACACACAGATGTCACAGGATGTGAGTTAATGTAACACCAGAGTATCTTTTAATATCGTCTCAACCCTCACGTCATCTCCAATTCAAAAAGGGAAATAATGAGTCTCTTAAGGCTGTAACCCAGCAACAGAGACCCTGCAGAGCAGCTGGAGGCCGTCAGTCCTCCAAT